AACACCAGCCGTCCCTGCCTGCCATCCCCCCGTAACTCCAGAGGCACGCACCTGCTGCAGGCACAAAGGAAAAACCCCAGCACAAAGAACTACAAAGTGCAAAGCAGAAATAACTACAAGACTCTCACAACCCCAGATTACTCCAAGCAAGCTCTTACCAACTACTGGATCTGCCCATCCAGCGCCAACACACCTCACAGCATTCAATTCCTCCTGCTTCTGCCTCCATGGGCACTGCTTGGCTCCACTCCCTGAACTGGCATTCATTTCCCTCCACGCAGGGCAGGATCCTACAAGAGACAGAACAGGCCATTCACCCCAAAGGACACAAGTGAACAGAAGAAGGGACCACCAAGTACAATTCCCACCCCACCCACCCAGCTCAAAGTTCCCCAAAGGGTGCCTGGCCAAGACATGCCATATTGAATTAAATAGTTTGAATGTTTGTAATGGTTGCCCATTAGCCAGTTTCAGGAAGAAGATAAGATTTTTCTCCTTATCTAAGTCATTGTTTTTGGACTACGTGCAAAAGGTCCTGACTTTGTTTAAAGTCTTAATTTGAATTTGATCTTTAGAAGTCTTTTACAAAGAACAAATATCCTGAGTTCCGAGAGATCAAACCCTAGGGCCTTTTGACCAGATTGGTAAGAAAAGGTCATTTGCAGTGATATGGAAGTTCCCCAAAAGTAATTTAAAATGCTCAACGAAAGAAACTAATTCTTCCCAAACACAAAACACCTTCTAGCATCCTGATCCTCTGGCTCCCTTAGCACTTCTCAGCTCCAGTCCCTTTGCCCTCGCCCTTTCCTTCCACGTACACCAGGACCCCTGAGGGAACAGAGAAGAAGCATTCACCTCAAGTGAAAGAACAAAACATGAGACAAGGAAACCACTGGGGAAATTCCCACCCTACACATGCAGCCAAGGGAGCATCTCAACACACTGCACAGGGTAGGCAGACAGCAGGGGGAAGGCCTCAGCCCTGAGAGCCAGCACCCACCACAGCTGGCATCACACTGCACCACCAGCCATCGCGTGTCCCTGCCTGCCAGCCCCCCTTAACTCCAGAGGCCCGCACCTGCTGCAGGCACAAAGGAAAAACCCCAGCACAAAGAACTACAAAGGGCAAATCAGAAATAACTACCAGACTCAAACAACCCCAGATGACTCCGAGCAAGCTCTTACCAGCTACGGGATCTGCCCATCCAGCGCCGACACATCTCGCGACATTCGATTCCTCCCGCCTCAGCCTCCGTGGGCACCGCTCGGCTCTGCTCCGCTCCCTGAACCCGCCTTCATTTCCCTCCACGCGGGGCAGGATCCTACGAGGGACAGAACAGGCACTTCACCCCAAAGGGCACAAGTGAACAAAAGCAGGGACCATCAGGTACAATTCCCACACCACCCACCCAGCTCAAAGCTCCCCAAAGGGTGCCTGGCCAGGGCACACCCCTCCAGCCATGACAAAAGCCTCAGCCCTTAGAGACAACACTCACCCAACCTGGCACAATTCTGCTCCTTCTCCAGCCCAGCCTCGTCCCCGATTGCCTTCCTCTCTGCACAGGGTACACAGGCACCTCCTGAGGGCACACAGGCAACTTCACTACCAAACAGAAGGGCAAAGGACAAACAACTGCCCCACCGGAACACAATCCCACACCGCTCCAAGTAACATCTTGCTCACTGCACGCTCTGCTCATGCACACAACTCCAGCAAAAGGGCAGAGGCCTTCCTTCCAGGTGACCCAGAAGTCACCATTGGTGCGCAGTCCCCTGTGTCCTCCACCTCCCAAAACGTTGTGGCTCTAGGTCGCTTTACCTCTACCTCACCTCGCCTCGGCTCACAGTCCAAACATTGGGATCACCCCAAAACAACAAGCAATTACTACATGGAAGAGTACTCATCTCTCATAGTAGTAAAGTGAAGGCCCCTCCCTTCCCCCCCAGCCCAGGGCTCCAGAAGCAGCACACGGCTAACCCCCCCAAACAAGGCAGGCAGGGCGCAGTCAAACCCCCCTCCAAAGCAGGGCATCATTTTAGGTGCCAACATGGCCCTCTTTCCAGATCTGGGAAAAGCAAAGGAAGAATAAAAAGTGCTGCAGTGATTTTAAAAAACAAACTAGAAAGAAAGACCAGTGACACACCCAGAGAGAGAGAACAAAGTGCAGTTCCCAGAACTGAAAGGAGGCCAGGGGCAGCACAGGCAGGGACACCAGCGCCCGCTCCTCTGCCTCAGCACACTCAAAGCCAAGATCTGCACCCACATGCCAGGGGCAAACCCTGAAACCATCTATATACTTAAAGGCTATTTTCAGCCTTTACAAAAGAACAAGGACTCACAGGCAGCCTAAACCCAACCCAGGCTTACACCACCCAGCTCTGGGGCAACCCAGGAGGCCAAAACCCTGCTGGAAACAAGAAGCTCAAGACACTATCTATCAGGCATTAGGGGTTCCCCCCCCTCACCCAAAAAACCCCAGGGCAAACAATGCTCACCACCCCTCCCCACACACTCTAACCACACCCACCTTTAAGAATTGTTTTCCTTCATCTTCCACCAGCATGGCACAGAACTCCCTGCATCCCTCTTCCCCCACAAGTTACATACAGGCTTCTGGAAAAAGAACAGAAACATTGTCAGCCCAAAGAGGGGATACAAAGACACAAAGTCAGAGACTGTGAAAGCTCCTCTCCCATCCTCCAGCACACACATCCAGCCCCCCTACTCACTACCCGAGCTCTCAAAGGCTTGTCTGTGGCCTCCCGGAGCTGGATAGTCACAGGCACTCAAAACGTGATGCATCACAGTAACCACTGTACACACAGCATGACTTGCAAAGATACACACACAACAGCTCCTGGAAACATGGAAGAACAAGTGCGGAACAAGTGGTCAGACAGGAAGACGAAGACATCACACCGCTCCAAGGAAGCTCAAACCCACTGCAGGCTCCACACAGGTGATGTCACAGGGGCAGAGGCCTCACACCACACAAACTGGGAAGTCACGAGACAGCTGCCCATTTCCTCCTCCACCATCTCTGCGGCTCTTCACCTCGTCTTCAGTGCCTGAAGCCTTGGCAAGGTGGGTCCTCTGGGGACAGACACAGACAAAACACAGGAAGACACTTGCCACTGTTAACAACTCAGAGGCCTCACAGCACTGGGGGCAGCGGACCCTCCCTGCCAAGACCCCACAGGCAACTTGTTTTTTTGTTTTGTTTTGTTTTTACCCCCCGACCCATAGCTCCGAGGGTGCAGGCACAGCCCTCTCCAGGCTCTCCCCTTGCAAGCAAGGGAAGCAATTTAGATGTGCAAACACAGGTCTCCTGCAAGTTCCGGGAAGAGCAGAGAAAGGCTGCAGTGACTTGGAAGACAACAAGACAAACCGAAAGGCATACAGACACAGGACAAGCCGTTCCCGGCACCAGTGGGAGAGCCTGTGGCAAGACAAGCAGCTAGGCAGAGACACGCACCATCTTCTTCCAGCAAACCCTGGACAGGGCCAGACACCAGCACCCAAATGTTGGACCAAACCCAGCTCAGGGAGCCAAAATGGCTAGTAGCAGGGACAGGCACAGATGCTCAAGCCTCATGTAGAGCCAGATGAGGGACCCCTGACCAGAGCATGCCACCACAAGAGAGAAGGAAAACTTTGATCCCCACAACACCCTGCCTGAGCCTTCCCATCACACCCAGACACCCACCATCCCAAACACGAAACACCTTCTAGCATCCTGATCCTCTGGTTCCATTACCGCTGCTCTGCTCCAGTCCCTGTGCCCTCACCCTTTCCTTCCAGGAACACCAGGACCCGGGAATACAGAGAACAGGTGTTCACCCCAAGTGGAAGAACAAAACAGTCAAAGGGAACCACTGGGGGAATTGCCACCCCACACATCCAGCCAAGGGAGCACCTCAACACACTGCTATGGGCACGCACAGGGTAGGCAGACAGCAGGGGAAAGGCCTCAGCCCCGAGACCCAGCACTCACCACACCTGGCATCACGCTGCACTTTCAGCCCTTGTGCGCCGTCAATCCCCATGCTTGCCATCCCGTTCCCAGATACAATGCAGGCACCTGCTGAGGATGCAAAAGAAAAGCCTCAGCATGAAAAACATCAAAGGGCAAAGCACGAATGTCTGAGTCTAGCAGTTAGCCCCACACTGCTCCAAACCACCCCATACCAACTGCAGGATCTCTCCATCCAGAGCTGCAACCCGCAAGAAGCAAATACCTCGCTCCAGGTGATCACGTGAGCATGGCTTCAGGCCGTCTCCAACTCCTTGAAGTATTAGCTTTACAGCTGAATACAAGGCATGACCTGTGGCCTAGCAATGCAGCTGACCACAAGGCAGATTGATAGCTAAGCCTTTGCTTGTGTCAAGTAATCATTTTAACTGTATTAAGCATTTTCTGAGTTAAAAAGTGGATCTGTGTCTGTGTGCTGAAAAATCAGCTACAGCAAGAAGTAAGACAAGACAGGGAAACCATTGTTCTGGGTGCACTGGTTGTGTCCTTGAGAAGTATCTACTACTGTGTAAGGTTTTGCTAACATATTATAATGTTACTGTTACTTAACTTTTAGCTTTTAAAA